GAGGAAGAAGAGGGGGAGGAACAAGAGAGAGGAGGAGGAACAAGAGAGAGGTGGAGGAACAAAGGGGTAGGGACAAGAAGGAGGAAGAAGAGGGGGAGGAACAAGAGAGAGGTGGAGGAACAAGGGGAGGCGGAGGAACAAAGGGGTAGGGACAAGAAGGAGGAAGAAGAGGGGAGGAACAAGAGAGAGGTGGAGGAACAAGGGGGAGGTGGAGGAACAAGGGTAAAGTGGAGGAACAAGGGGAGGGAGGAACAAGAGAGAGGTGGAGGAACAAGGGGAGGGGAGGAACAAGGGGGAGGTGGAGGAACAAAGGGATGTGGAGGAACAAGGGGTAAGAGGAGGAACAAGGGGAGGTGGAGGAACAAGAGGGAGGGGGAGGAACAAGGGGAGGTGGAGGAACAAGAGAGAGGTGGAGGAACAAGGTGAGGTGGAGGAACAAGGGGGAAGTGGAGGAACAAGGGGGAGGTGGAGGAACAAAGGGAAGGGACAAGAAGGAGGAACAAGAGGGAAGGAAGAGGGGAGGGAGGAACAAGAAGGGCAGGAGAGTCGGGGGTAATCGCACTTTCCAGGCTGTCACGGTCAACTGATAAAGGTACAGTAGCCATTGAGAGATCAGTGTGTGTGTGTGTGTGTGTGTGTGTGTGTGTGTGTGTGTGTGTGTGTGTGTGTGTGTGTGTGTGTGTGTACAAACAAAGAAAGACTGGAGCACCAATTATGACAGGAACAGTTCTCGAGGGACTGGTATCAACGAGATCTTATACTGCTGCCTGTATCGTTCACTCCACCGACTGCAGGAGAGAGAGAAGACCCTGACGGTGAGGGCGGGGAGGGGGGGGAGGGGGAGGGGGGAGGGGACCCAGATCCTCAAAGACACACTGCCTCTCTGATCCTTATATATATATACTTTTAATACAATATCATGAAAGGCCAGGATATACACAATGAACGGGGGAGGGGAGGTTGGCAGGGTGGGGGAGGGAGGTTGGCAGGGTTGGTTGGCAGGGGTGGCAGGGTGGGGAGGGAGGTTGGCAGGGTGGGGGAGGGGAGGTTGGCAGGGTGGGGGAGGAGGCTGGCAGGGGGGGGGAGAGGGTTGGCAGGGAGGAGGGGTAAGGGTTGGCAGGGAGGAGGGGGAAGGGTTGGCAGAGAGGAGGGGGAAGGGTTGACAGGGAGGGGGTAGAGGTTGGCAGGGAGGAGGGGGAAGGGTTGAAAGGGAGGGGGTAGAGGTTGGCAGGGAGAGTGTGGAAGAAGAAAGAGAAGCTAGGACAAGGGAAGGCTGGAGCAAGGCACGAGTGGTTCAGAGGTAGACCAAGAACCTAACCTAACCTAATTTAATTTCACCCAACCTTCCTACAAGACGGTAAACTGTTCTAAAAGGCGAAAACTTAACCTAAAACACGATAATCACTCGCCCAAACGACGATAACCTATCATAAGTAACGATCCATTACCCCCAAAGACGGTAACTGTATCGTAAAAGACTATATAACGTAAGAGACGATAAATTTACCTAAGAGCACTTCACAGTCTGGGGCAGCCTAGCGCATGGGGTGATATTTTCCATTATGTAGAGGAGAGGAGCAAAACAGCGCTATGCCACACAGGTCTAGGCAAACTCCGTGTGTGTGTGTGTGTGTAAGATGGATCGTGTTTGGGCGAGGAATCATAAACCACTGAGGCTACGATCGGGCTGAAGACGAGTTTCCTACGATAGTGACTCGTGTGTGGAGCAAAGCGAACGACTAGTACTCCCGCCCGTGTACCAACAACCACTGCCTTACCAAACGCTGCTGATCTGCCTATATAAAACCCGGAAACAAAACTATCTCAAGACTGGGGTTGTGACAGCGACGTACCATAATAAAACACAACTTCAGATAACTGTGTGAGAGAGAGAGAGAGAGAGAGAGAGAGAGAGAGAGAGAGAGAGAGAGAGAGAGAGAGAGAGAGAGAGCGAGGGAGAGCGAGAGCGAGAGCGAGAGAGAGGAGAGAGCGAGAGAGAGAGAGCTAGAGCGAGAGCGAGAGCGAGAGAGAGAGAGAGAGAGAGAGAGAGAGAGAGAGAGAGAGAGAGAGAGAGAGCGAGAGAGAGCGAGGAGAGAAGAGAGAGAGAGAGAGAGAGAGAGAGAGAGAGAGAGAGAGAGAGAGAGAGAGAGGTAGTAGTAGTAGTAGTAATGGTTCTGGAGATATCGTGTTGACGGCCCTTTGCCACGTACGTACACGGGGATCTTGCTGCCATGGCAACCTCTCCTCACTTAACCAGGTACACAGACAGATCCTCAGTGGTATAAAGTGGCAGGTCCACCAGTTATCACATCTGTCTCCTTCACTGGCCACACACACACACAGCTACGAACGTCCATTTTTCACCTGTCCACTCAGACTGTCACTCCCTGGCCATCATCTTCACTTTAACTGTCAATCCATCATGCACAGAATTACACCTTCACTCTCCACCTCAACTTTAGACATATCCACCTCATCTCCCCCCTAAGCCTCTCCTTCTCCACTCCCATCCACCCTGAAGCCCCCCTTAACCCCGTGCTCCCCACCCACAACCTCGCCTCCAGCAGTACCCAGACACACGCCTCTAGGGGGAGTACAACCCTCCCGTCATCTATTCTAACTTCAAGATCGCGGGGTCGATTCCACCATTTTTGCGGGCAAGTTTGTCACGACTGAGAAAAAGTGTGGATTACACACACGAGCCTCCTGCACCACCACAAGGCTGAACTAACAACCAGTTTGCATAATGCATATATTAGGCCCGGCAGATAAAATTCTCCCGCCCCATTACGACAAAGGGTCGACGTAAATTTAACTTTATCATCAACAGCTGATTATAAAGTCGGGTGTATGTCCTCCCAGGCGGCAACCTTCCCAGCACCCCGTGGACCAGTGTACACTAAGCTACCCTACACCGCCCGCGCCTCACCTCCTAAATACACCAGTATGTGTAACTCACTCCACCACCACCAGGCTTCACCCAACTCAATGTCAATATTGACCAAGTCTCTTATTTCTACGCTGTATGAGTCCACAGTTGAGTAAATAATAATAATAGTTAGATACTTTTTTATTATTATCATTACCTTTATTCTTATAAGGACTAGATACAAACTACACACACACAGTCGTGAACCAACAGGTATTGGCACCAGCCCCGACCGTCACCTGCCACACCCACGCTCAACTGTGTCCACCATCAATGTTGTGGCCACACCCTTGTAGAGAACCATTTCTATAGAGCCGGGATGCAGAGCCACGCTCCACAACAGATCACTCCTCCACCAACTAATACAGCACCTAGTGTAGTGTGGCATCCTGTACGGGCCACACACGTGTACAGGGACACTCTATATAACACATAACAAAGAAGTAAAATAAGTACGTCGGGTGAGGGTCAGTGTAAACAACGCCCCTCCTGTATCCCGCACTGTTCCTTTAATTGCATCACCAAGTCATATACAGTATACCCCCAGAGTAACCTCCCCATCTTCCCCACCTGTGAAATAAATACATCATAAATTCTCACACAATAAACCTACCTTGAAGACTTGGATGACGTAAACCAGCTGTGGATATAATGTTTATATCTGCCGGGTAGAGGAGCGGTGGGCAGTAATGACATGTTTGTAGTTACAATATTTATACCATATAAGACAACATTAACCAGTGACTCAACATTCGTGGAGGTTCACAAGACACCCAAGTCATAGATATAATCATGACCATTAAGAAAAATGAAGACATTCACAAAGGGATAAAACAAACGGGGTTGGGGTGAGTGCAAGGGGCGGGGTGGTAGTGCCTTGATAATAGTAAGAAAAACTGACACACGAAACATATATAATGTATGGTAAAACACTGCCGGGTGATGACCGCGAGCCGCTTGAGGGGAGTACAGCACAAGACACACTGGCGGCCATCACTCAGGCCACACCAAGAAATGTACAGTAATCCGTCTCTTCACAGGGAAGGGTATAAACACACTGAGAGAATCATAAACACCGATAAAGGTAAAAGACAAACAAGTGGTAATATACACCGCAGCTGGCGAGACCTGCTGCCCTCCACTTCTCGTAAGGCTACGCACTCAGCCTACTCTTATGACCTGTTGAGGCAAACTCCTCCTGAAGGACACGCTGAGTGTGGCAGGCGGCTAACCTGACCTTCTGGCGACAACGGCTGCTGGACGTGGCTCACACGGGGTCAAGAGGCGGAAGGCCATCAGGGGAAACACTTGACCAGCACACACGATTATTATGGCTCAAGACAAGAGGTGGGCGTGGCTCAGGAAATGAGGTGGGCGTGGCTCAGGACAAGAAGTGGGCGTGGCTCAGGACAAGAGGTGGGCGTAGCGCAGGACATGAGGTGGGCATGGCTCAGGAAGAGGTGGGCATGGCTCAGGACAACAGGTGAGGCGTGACTCAGGACTGGTGGAGGGGAGTGTGGCGCAGGTGGAGGCTGTCATGAAAGCAGGTAAACATGTCATGACAATGGGTGAGTTTCATGACACGTAAACCCATCATGACAATAGCCAGATGTTGGGTAGGGGGGTGGTGAGGGTGGGGAGGCAGGGGAGGGGGAGGAGGAGAGGGGAGGGGAGGGGAGGGGAGGGGGAGGAGAGGGGGTAGGTATAAACGGTAGTAAATACACAAACACAAAACTATGACAAAATATGAAACATTACTGAGGACTATTACTTTACTGATAACAGGACATCACATAATGCTGCCATACTTAAGTGACATACACAAGTGGTCGTGACAAAGAGAGCCAGTCAGGGACACAGTTAAATTTGGGGACAAATGACAGAATCTAGCAAACTACTTCAATCTGAAATAACCACTTAGCAAATACATCTATAAGAGGTATGGCGGACTGTGTAGGTGTTGTGTGTACTGTGTGGTGTGAGTGCAGTGTACATGCAGATGACAGCGAGGCAGTGTGGGGTGAGGGCAGCAGGTAGTCCGGCGGCGGCGTGTGAAGGGTTTCTACTGTACATCTCGCTGGTGGCGCGGTGACCTGGCGCAACACTGCCACGCGTCCCCCGCCGCTACCTGAGAAGGCGCCTGTAGACCGTTTGAGGCGCTCCCGTTTCTCCGCCACCAAGGCCAGGAGGGCAGGGGAGAGGCGATCCGTTATTCCTTCGTCAGTCACTTCCCTGCCTCCTGCCTCATCACGCCCACTCTCGGCACTGAGCGCCGCCGCTGCCCGCCCAGCCTCCATGCTCTTGCTCCGAGTAGTGCGGGTGGGAGAGGACAGTGCCAGTTGCCTCTTGAGTGTGTTGAGGAGCTCTTGGGAGGTCATGAGCGACGAGGACTTAACTGGTCCAGGGCGAGAACTGTGGTTATGTGGTTGTTGCTTGGCCTGGGCAGCTGTGGAAAAGCGGTAACGGACCGTACCTACAGGTACGTCTCTCACTGGACCTTCCCTCATCTTCGGGTCCCGTATAGAGCCGTTACGTATCATAGCATCCCGCACCTCTTGTAGCGAGGCGTACTCCCCGTCTAACTGTGCAGGAGAGCCATAATGACTAGCATCATAGGCGGTCTGTTGCATGATTGACTTTTGATGTTGAAATGACCGCTGTTGCTGTTTCTGCCGCAAGAACTGTTGCGCTTGCTGTTGTTGCAACTGCTGTTTTTGGTATTGTTGCTGTTGTTGCTGCTGTTGCTGCAACTGCTGTTGCTGCAACTGTTGTTGCTGCAACTGTTGTTGCTGCAACTGCTGCTGGTGCAGCTGTTGGTGATGCAAATGTTGTTGTTGCAGCTGTTGCTGTTGCAGCTGCTTGAGCTGAGATACTGTAGCGGTTGTTATAATAACGCTCTCGCCACACGGGGTCTGCCGGTAGTGCGGAGCTGGTCGGCCTGGTACTGCCTCAGGTCCACATACTCCTGCTGTTGCTGCTGCTGTCGTTCCATGGCCTCGTAGTTACGTAACTCCACATAATCTGTTAAATGTGGAGTCATTGTGCCAGAAGTGTAACTTCCCACACTGGTCTGAGTGCGCACTGGTGGTTGGTGGCGGTGTTGGAGGTGAGCTTGCATGTCATGTATGGTCGTGTGTGTGTTGGGTGAGGGGTGAGGCTGGGGTGGCAGGGCAGCTAACGGGGATCTGGCTGGGGATTGAGAGTAGGAGGGCGGGCTGGGGCGTGGAGGCGAGGGTGGCGCCAGACGTATGGAGGAACGCCGCCCCCGCCGCTCCGAGCCGGTGTAGGTGCGTGGGAGGGGGCCGGGCACAGGGTCAGCGTCGTGGCTCTGCTGCCAGGAGCGGCTCTTACCCATGGGGGCAGTTGGATGTGCCTGCACAGCTTCCTGCCGCGTGATGTGATGGTGTCGACGTCCTATGCCAGCATCGGCGGAGTGGCCCATGATGGTGGACTGCTGCTGCTGCCACGACCGACTCTTGGCCAGTTGCCGGGCGCGCTCACTCTGCGGGGTGCTGTGGCCAACACTGTACTGTTGCCACGAGCGAGCCTTCCAGAGGGGCGGCTGGGGGCTGCGGGCCCCAGACATCCTTCCTTCTTCATAGGACATGCTCCTCGGGCCGGCGGGTGGTTGCGGTTCTCCATTATAACGCATCTGTGTCTGGTCTTGTGGACCCACCATACGGGTCCAGGGGTCACCGGGTGGCTGTCTGCTGGGCATCCTCACGGGTGACCTACTAGGTGCCTAGCTGGTGACCCATTGGGACCCCTGTTGGGAGATCGACTGTTTCTTCGGCTGTCTCTCCTTCGGCTGTCTGATCGACTAGGAGAACGGCTTGGAGGTCGGCTGGGGGACCTGTTTGGTGAACGACGAGATTTTCGTGAAGGAGATCGGTTAACGGACGCCTTGGGTGGCGGCACGGGACTGGAGGTACTAAGAGAGATGCTGGGAACGGTCCCCCGCACGCTGCTGCCCCGGACTCGGCTGCTGTCACGGCTGTCTGATCTTTCTTGTGACTCTTGTGCGGCCTTAGTGAGGATGCCCTGGCGTCGTGGGCTGGGCCTGCGGGACCGACGCCCACTGCTCTTCACGCTCAGTCGTGACCCATGCTGACGACTTGAGCTGCCTTGCTCGCTGCTGCTGTTGTCGCCGCTGTCCCGCTGAGGTGATGGTAACTCAACGTTCTCGTAGCCGTCGGCGTCAGTCTGAGTGGAGAGTCGAGGTGAATGGTCGACTGGGTGATCATACCGCGCTGCTGGGGGTAGAGTCGCCCCGGTCACTGCCCGCACGGCTACCTGCCCTGCTCCCTGCCCGGCTGCTGCTAGGCAGGCTAGAGGGGCCACCACCACCCTCTCTTTGCTGGCCACAGCTGGCGGGGCTGCTGGTGCCGGTGCGACTACCGGTTGGGCTGCCACTTCCTGCTCGGCTGCTGTTGTTAGTACCACCTCGGCTGGACCCAGAATCAGTGGCACAGTCCAGTAACCTGTCGCCGCTCCAGCTCTGACTCTTCTCAATAGTTTGGGTTTCCTCAGCTCGACCCTGCAGTCCCGCTCCCCCACGACCATCCAGTATGGAAGGAGAGCTATTGATGCTGAAGGAGTCTGGCGTGTGGTCGTGTGTGTACTTCCATGACGAGGACCTCTCCACACCCGCCTTCTGTGGCGTCTGGCCGGATTGCTGCTGCTGTTGATGAAATAGCTCCCTGGGGGAGGCGCCGCCGGTGGAGGGTGTACTGACGGCCACTGTCTCCCGGCGGCGTCCACTAGTGCTGCGGGCGGCTACTACGGGGTTGGGCGCCACTCCGGCCTCGCCGAGCTCAGGGCCACTCTGGGAGGGCTGCTTGGTGCTGCCACCCGACCCGCCCCGCAGCAGCCGACTCAACAACTTACTCTTTTATCGTGCCCACGACCCAGTCTGCCACTTTACGTGCTGAACTTGACGTATGGCACGATGCCTGTAACAGGAATACAGCACCACGTACAGGACTTCACATGTGTGTGGCACCACTCACGGCACTCCTTATGGCACTCGGCGTGTGGCCCGTGCACCACTTATCGAGTGAGATTTGCGAGGCAGGAGCCGAGGTGTGGCAGCACCAGCTGTTGTTCACATGTCTGGGGACGACGACGCATCACTGGACACCATCATACCACCTCCACACACACACACACACCACGCCTCCACCACTACCACGGTATTCAGTCTTTCAAAGTTCACTTCTATTATCACTTTATCATACAGTTCTCTGTGGAGGAAAAGAACAAATGTAGCCATTATTCACAAGATCAATACTACTGCATCACGCTCAACAACAACAGGTGAATTTGGTGAAGCGAGACAGTAACGATGTGTACTACCCTGGTGACCCACACAGGGGAGTCACGAGTACCACCACCTATCAGTTGTTCCTCCTTCCCATCACACTCCAGCGCCACCCACAACCACCCACATCCCCCCCCCTGCCACCCATCCGTCAGCCCTTCTTCCTGCCACCCAAAATCACTTAGACATCTCCCTCCTCCCACCCACCCACCATACAATACCTGGTCCCAGAACCCCCACTCAAGGCAATATAAATAGTGGACAGTGACCCAGAACGACAGTACTTGTATATATTCAAAAAAACACACACACACACACACACACACACACACACACACACACACACACACACACACACACACACACACACACACACACACACACACACACACACACACACACACACACACACACACACACACACACACACACACACACACACACACACACACACACACACACACACACACACACACACACACACACACACACACACACACACACACACACACACACACACACACACACACACACACACACACACACACACACACACACACACACACACACACACACACACACACACACACACACACACACACACACACACACACACACACACACACACACACACACACACACACACACACACACACACACACACACACACACACACACACACACACACACACACACACACACACACACACACACACACACACACACACACACACACACACACACACACACACACACACACACACACACACACACACACACACACACACACACACACACACACACACACACACACACACACACACACACACACACACACACACACACACACACACACACACACACACACACACACACACACACACACACACACACACACTACTCTCCGTAATTCACGAATAGAAAACCGAAAATTGGGTTAAAGAAATCTTTACACCATTATCTGGGACACTTCACACTCTGTTCCAATACCCACACCTGTGCCTAATACCAACAGGTGTGTGTGTGTGTAATGTTATACCCTCCTGCAGCGACGAGAGGGCTAACAATAAACCTGTACAGTATTTCATAAAGGGAGCTCTCAGTAATTTTTAGCTCCATCATTTTATCCTTTATTTGTTCTTCTCACATCTCATCGCAGGCTCTCCCTCCCCTACCTCACAGTCTTACCTCCCTCCCTCCTTACCTCACAGTCTTCTACCTCCCTCCCTCCTTCCTCCTCCCTCCTCCTTACCTCACAGTCTTCTACCTCCCTCCCCAGCCACAATAAACGCTGCTGTATTAAACTTCAAAGCCATCAGGTGAGACAATTTAATCAGGTGACGTCATCATTAATCAGGTGACGCCATCATTAATCAGGTGACGTCATCATTTTAAACACATAAATTTCCCAACAATAATTAACAGTAAAAGTTTTCGTGTTATAAAAAACTATTCCCCGTGACATGAATGATCGTTAGTACAGGCGATCAACTCTCTCTCAGATAGACACAAACAAACAGCGTGAATATAAATGATGTGAATTAATCATATCCTCGGTCAGTGAGGCGACGGAGAGGTGAGAACAGGTAATAAATACGACCCGCCTCACTGCCACCTGACCTACCTTACCAAAGGCAGGAAGGGGGAGGAAGGGTGATAGAGAAAGGGGAGGGTAGGAGGGGTGAGGAGGGTAGTTGTAGAGGGGGGATGATATGTGCCCCAGGCTAGTCTCATTACCATACCCACTAGCTAATGTTATCACACACACACACACACACACACACACACACACACACATCTGCCACCTCCACACATGTCATTCACAACACACCAAAATTTGAACGTATATCTCCCCGGTAGAGCAGAGACTCCCGGTAATGTACTGGTGGTTAACACGGCATATACACCACCACCACCACCCCAGTAACCCCAGTAAGTTAACACCTTCTAACCCCGTTGATTAACATCAACCCAGTAACCCCAGTAAGTTAACACCTTCCCCGGTAACCACAGTAAGTTAACACCTTCCCCGGTAACCCCAGTAAGTTAACACCTTTCAGTAACCCCAGTAAGTTAACACCTTCCCCGGTAACCCCAGTAAGTTAACATCAACCCAGTAACCCCAGTAAGTTAACACCTTCCCCGGTAACCCCAGTAAGTTAACACCTTCCCCGGTAACCCCAGTAAGTTAACACCTTCCCCAGTAACCCCAGTAAGTTAACACCTTCCCCAGTAACCCCGTAAGTTAACACTTTCCCAGTAACCCCAGTAAGTTAACACCTTCCCCAACCCCAGTAAGTTAACACCTTCCCCGGTAACCCCAGTAAGTTAACACCTTCCCCGGTAACCCCAGTAAGTTAACACTTTCCCCAGTAACCCCAGTAAGTTAACATCAACCCCGGTAACCCAAGTAAGTTAACAACTTCCCCGGTAACTCAGTAGTTAACATTCGGTAACCCCAGTAAGTTAACACTTTCCCCGGTAACCCCAGTAAGTTAACATCAACCCCGGTAACCCCTAAATTAACATTCCCCGGTAACCCCAGTAAGTTAACACTTTCCCCGTAACTAGTAAGTTAACATCAACCGGTAACCCCAATAAATTAACACCTTCCCCGGTAACCCCAGTAAATTAACACCTTCCCCAGTAACCCCAGTAAGTTAACACCTTCCCA